GAATATCAAGTTGTATAATTCAGAATTTCACGATAGTGTATTTTTCACTGGATAACGTTTCACTTTATTCAAAAATTCTCTTGTTTCAAGATAAATACGACGCTATTCGAAATAATGATTATTATTTTACTCGCTTGTACATGTGTAAATCTTTCAAAGTGCAGTGTTTAAAAAAAATTCGTTTGTCGTTCGCGCAATTACCTTTTGCTACTACAAATGCGACAAGTAAATTGAAAAATGGATGATGTCTAGAAAGACAAAGAGAGAGAGAGAAAGAGAGAACAGAAATTCAGACATACAGAGAATGAGAGAGGAAGAGAAAGACAGGGAGAGACGAAGATGGAAGCGCTGATGGAATCCATCGCTCTCTTGCAAATCTGATTACGTTGCCCTGCTAGCTGCGACCATAGTCATTTACTACTACTCTTTGGAACACAGCTAGCATCGACATATAGATAATCCTTGCATGTGTGCGCGAACGTGTTGCATGGCTCACCAGACTCCGATGAGCCGCGACCATCTCGAAAATCGAATAGGGGTTTGTCTCAGCCATTGATTTCCGCCCCGTTTTAGGCCCGAGAGATTTGAGGAAAACGCATGGAAAGATGGAATTGCGAGTATTTACACGCGCGCGCAGACTGCTCTCTCACCGGAAGTAAATGGAATGAGGAAACGGTTGGCGAGGGTGAAAAAAAAAAAATTGATTGACTCGATCATCGCAGAGGCATGCGTTGGCGTATGTGTTATAAAAGGATCAGCTCTTCGGAAATAGAAACGAAGCTCTCGCAATAGATCTATTATTAGACCTCTCGTAAAGGATATTACGAACAAGATGCAAATGTTCTTGACGATAATATCTTTGTTCACATTTGTGGATTATATTTTCCCTGTAATTAATTTTTTCAATTTATTCCGCAAAGAGAGGCTGATTAATCTTTTGTTTGCTATAATCGATTTAATTCACATTTTAATTCATGTCAATATTTTTTACTGTTGACGTATACAACGTGTACAAGTTAGTTTAATGTATTGATGTTATATAATGTAAAAATCGATACGAAGATTACATTTCGTGATGAATTTTGATGAAATAATGTCTGTCGCTGACAATCCCTTTTCGCTGAAATTAGATTTGTTACTTCGATAGAACTTTACATCGATCGTGCATCTAAATTATTAATTATTATTTCATTTTATCACGATTAATAGTTAACTAAGGTAATTAATAGTTTATTTATGGTATTAGGTCATAATGCAAGCATGGCGGTCGACAAATATAACATATATGAAGCGTAATATCTTTTTTGTTTAAATATTTAACGGACATGTGATGGTAATATATCGAAGTTGGTTCTTTTTCCTCTGGGAGGAAAATTCTTTCCCGGGGTTAGCCTTGCAGTTATAACAGAGGGAGGTTCCTCGGGGACTTCTTTTCCACGCTCCTCTGACATTCGTCCATTCGGTTTGCGTACAAAAGGGAGGATGCGAAGCAGGACAAAGGAAAAAAAGAAGCTCTTGGTGCGCGTTCTATTGTAGATTTCTGCTCTTTCGCGAACTCTCTCCTCCTTTCTCGTGCTCCAGCAGCTATCCCTCTTCTCCTCCTTCTCTCGAACAATTTCCTTCCCTCCTTTGAGGCTGTTCTTATCTCCGGATAACGGCGGAAGGAGGAAAACTCTCTCACGAGAGGAGTGAGTCGAGAATGCGCGGCAGTCTCGAAATTCCACGCGATCCAAAGCCATATTAAATTCGCCTAACGGGTGACCCAGTAACCCGCAAGATTGTAACCTCGTTAATTTTCGCGGAGCAATGCGTTTCTTCTAATTTTTGGAGAATGACGAGCAGATCGATGGCCAGGTGACATACCAAGTGCAAACGATCCGCCAGCATCTAAAATTGATTGACAAGCAAGGATATACAAGAGTTTAGAATCTACTAAGCTTGTTGACTTTATTTAAAACGAAATTTATATATACACAATGTATAATTATACACAGTCTCCATTCATACCTGCGAGGCAGTTTTGGCGAAAAAACAATTACATGATCATAATTAATATCTTTCGCAATCCGTGACCTTATTATGTACGGATAAATTTTTTGAAATACTTAAGATCGATCTTCTCTTGGCGAAAATGTCAAGGAAAAAATCATCGTCTTCAATTTTTTAATTTTTATCTCTTCGCATCTTGATGATTAAACTTCGAATTAAAATTCTCTCTTAAGATCTTCTTAAAATGATAACTAAAAGTACTCCTATATTTTGCTACGCCTACGTCCTGAAACTTTACTAAAGTTCACTGAAGATACTTTGTCTTTAGTCGCTTACTGCAAAATTATTGGTTTCTCGATGTTTTCTATGAAAGAATTCGCATATCAATGAATCTGCCATTAAACTTGAGATGAGCAAATATTATAATTTATAGTTTTTAATATTCGAAGAAAGAGAGAGAGAGAAGCGCGCGCATTTGAAGCAATAATAATTTTCTCGAAAATACGTAACTTTGAAAACAGAACCAACAGAATTAATAATATATTACCGTTTCGATAAAGTTCTTCTATATGTAGACAGAACTACACATAATGGACAATGCAATTCCGATAAACTTAATAAAAAAATCATTTAGTGAGGATATTTGATTTGAGAAGTCAAGCGTGTATTAGTCAAATATCCGGCAAATATTTAATCTACATCCCTAGTTCCCTCGGGCACTTTCCGATGTATGCGACGCAGACGAGAGTACTTTGCGATAGACTTCAATATTTTATTTTCTTTCCTCTGCCTCTCCTCGTCCCGATATACCATCCTTATAGTGTAAATTTAAATCAGGTTTAACCGTTGATAAAACGGAAAACACTTACGGTATGCCGGGCATGTGAAATATTTATATAACGGAAAAAGTAAGAAAACATTTAGCAAATGCCTATTTTATCGGTCCTTTTTTTCTAATGTATATTATGAATCTAATATCGTTAAATTGTCCAAATTGTGTGTTAATTTTAATGTGAGTATAAATTTTTTCAGCGCAAATTTTTGCTAATACGTATGTGTATGTGTATAAAAACCGCTATGAAAATTACATATATAAAAACTGTCGGGCACATTACGGGGATTCAGTATATGAGATAGGGGTAAATTAGAAACTATGGATGCGGCGCATTGTGTTCTTTGCAGCGCGATTGTGAATTTACAGTGTCTCATAAATATGGATCAGACAACACAGAGAAAATTCAAAGCTTATCGGAATCTACCACTTAAAAGCGAACGTAGAGAAGTACAGAAGCCGCATTAGCAACTATATATCACGTCGGCGATTGGATTTTATGAGACATTAATCAACTTATTGTCTTAGTTTATTATACACGGGTGTATTATTGAGCGTGAGCTGACTGTTGATTGAAAATAAATTTATACGGATATTTACGCGATGCTTGGTTACAAAATCCGATTTCATTCTTTAACAGAAGATCATAAATCCAATTTAAATGCGTCACGAGGTAAAAACTTCCAAGGTAACGGACGTTTCTACCAAATGATTTACACGTGTGAATTATAAATGACAGCTCGTCAAGTTCGATTCTGCAACTTTACGAACTATTGGTAATAATGAGAAGACGGAAATATGTGTATATAATGTATTTCGTATGAAATTTGGCTTTAGATTACTCTTAACAAACATACTTATTGTTAGAATATATTTAACGTCTATCTATGGTAGATAAAAAAAATAAATAAATCGGGATGTTTATAAAATTTTTCCATATTTTTTGTAGAGTTATTTGTACACATTTTTAAATAAATATAATCTTTCTACATTTTGTAAGAAACACGGAACAGTCCGTAAAAACATTTTATGTAATATTTATTTCATATATATAGGAATTAATTTTTTTTATAATTCCAAGGTAAGACTTAATTTAAGAATTACATCTTGCCGAAAGAATTGTGCGAAAAAATTGGTGCATATAAAAGATACATGGGTATTTAATTTTTGTTTTTGATTTATATTCATTTTGACGACATTTTAATTATATAAATAATAATGTTTAAGTATGTGTGAAATATTCTGTATATGAATTGATATAAAATATAATATTTGTATTTTGTCAAATATCTACAAGCACAACGCGTTTAACTCGAGAGATTTTAAAAATCTCGGCTACCTTGACACAGTGACATAAATGTAACTAGCATGTAATGGTCTAGCTCTTGGCTGACCCACTTTCTCTAGTCATTGCCGTTGTTGCTCTTTATTCAAGAGTAACAATAATATTTTCACATACGCATTGTATATGTATATAACAACATTAAAGGTATTCACGATATTCGTGAAATCAAGATATTATATGAGAAGATATTTTATATTTTTGTTGAGGGAAAAGAAGCAATCGATTTTTAGATGCTAAATTAAAGATAAGTTCTCCCGAGGTATCTTACAGATCTTCTTTAGCCTTTCTTTCGTTAAAAAGGACGAAGGAGAAAGCAACTATATTGAATAGATGTACTTCAGAATCCCCTTTGCTTTCTCCTGAATCTCGGGCTGAAATCTTACGCGCTGTTAATTGCTACTATTGTTCCCGCTAAGAGAAAGAGTAGCGAAAGAACAAAAGTGCTACTTTGTAGGGGCACACCATTCCCTCTTTAACATCCCTGCTTATACTCAGTACTTGGTGTTCCTCTGTCAAATCTGTGGTCGATCGATTCCAGCCACGTACGTGTATTCAAATCAACCATGCATTTAGAGGAAACATTTTATTCCTCAAATAAAATCTTCTTCTATATTATTTTAATATTATTCCGTATATTATTTTATAATCATATGTATGCCATACATATACACACACATACGCTTACATGTAATTAAGTATTGTAGATTTACGGCGAATATTTTTGCATCCGTAATTGCATATCAAATAATGATGAAAGATAAATAGGTTTCGATCGTTTCTTGAATGTGTAATCGAATAACATTGTCTTGACGAATTTATCCTTGTATGTTTTAGGCTCTGCTTGTAAGATTTATCGGATTTAGCATTCGCAACAATGGGCTGGGCTATCACCGGTCTCGGAGTAGTTTTGGTCATCGTCATCGCTGCCGGAGCTACACTTGTTCTTTGCAGAAGGTAATTATGATATCGAGATTCGCGCCGCGTGTAGTGAAATAAAATTCTATAACACCACATAAAATTCAATTTTCAAAATAAAAACTGTTAGCCAATCAAGGGCCATATACTTATAGTCGATTTTTTAAGGATTTTCTTGTGGATTACTTAAAGAAGATATACGGTCGAGAAATGAAAAGCGACTCTAAGGTCTTTAGGCTTTTCAATCCTTCTCGAATGATTTTTCCTTCATTTTTGACGAAGAGACGCAAGAATATAATAATGCACCCTAGATATTGTTAAACGCGTTAATGCATGCAACAGGTGAAACCATCATTCATAGCGAGTAATTATTGCACTAGCAATTCAGTATCTGTCCAAGAGACCACAAGTTTGATCCATTCTTTTCCGGGATAATAAATCGAGACTTGTTTCGCCCGAGAGTAACATTACAGGGAGAACAATTAAATGTTAGTTACCTTTAGTTCATATAATTGTTTCACGAATAAACATAACTCGATTATTATGTTGTGGAATAAAATGATATAGTAAATGCGATTAGGAAATGTGTGAAGTAAATTTTACACAAGTAATTTATTTAATTAACGTACACATGTCTTGAATTAACGTTTAAAAACACTCTTATTACATGCTAAGAATTATCCTATGCAACAACAAATATAAAACAAGAAGAAATGCAAAGAAATTATTTATTTATTTACTAAATTAATTTATTTATATAACGCTCTTCATAATTAGGAAATTATATAGAAAATTCATAAAATATTTCACAAAATGTGACATGCAAACGAACATTCAAATATATTCGCACGTTTAAAATTGATGCTTAAAAAATTAGCATATAATTTTATTATCAAGTTTGTTTAATAAATGTAATAAATCTAATAATTCTAATAAATTCAATAAATCTAATAAATCTAATTAATATTGCAAATTTAACACCTTATAAACAAATCGGACAATCAATCGACTCGGACTATCGCATTTCGCCCTTTGCTCTATTACGCTGTCTCCGATATTTCCGAGTTACGATCTTGAACAAGCCCATTATCTTGTGGCATAGGCATAATTAGCGCTTAGCTTCTGTAGTCGCGTCAATCTCGTAGATATTGCATCGGATGGCAATTTGGCACGAGGAATGTCTGGAGCGTCTGCGAGGAATGGAGACAGAGGCTTTCTTGGCTTTGGGCACCGCGGGAGGAAAAGGTAATGTGTATTCTCGAAAAACATAAGTTAAGTTATACATTCGTGAATTCCACCAGGAAGCTTTTATTGCTCTTCGTGTGTAGCTCACAGTTATATCATCGGAAAGATATTGATTTACATGATTACTCGGCACAAATTCTTTTCTCCGTTTTAAGATGAAATTGATAAAACTGATCGAATCTATCTAGAGATTTTTTAATATTTTTTTCTCTAATCTGATAATTATATTATTTATGAAACTATACTCTTGTGCGATAATTATGTCAATATTTTAAACCGATTTTGATTAAATGCGAATTTTCTTATTTAGAAACTTTAAAATTTTCTTCAGTAGTCTCGCTTTATCATATCACTTTGTATCACAATTTCTAACGATGACACTATTTGAAGGTGGGATTGGTGAAGGCTCAGCATCCGACCGCCCAGACAATACCAGGCCTATATCGTCAAACTGGGAATACCTCTCAACATCTCCTGCATAGCGATAGCGACCTCCGGCTAGATGCGCAAGGCGCCTTTACCAGGTATGCGACCGATTCGATAATTAAATCTTCGCACAATTTTATGATATTGGTATATATGACTGGAAAAGCGTGAACACAAGAAAAAGAAATTCAGCATGACTTTGGAGAAGATCTTAAGCGAGAAGATGTTTAAACAAGTTCCCGGAAGAAAAAGTTTTTTCTTTCGATTAAAAATAATTTGAAATATCTTTCTGCTGCTGATATTAAGCTCCGACAAAATATTTTATGCAAGCACACACACACACACACACATTTGTACCTTTGAAGAAATTAATTAAATCAAATTAGAATATTCTATCTTTATCACTCATTGTTATTGCAAACTGAAAGCTGTCGACAGCTAATAAATAAATCATTTTTCGCAAAAAAATCTTAAATACTTTACAGCTTTCTTCGATTAATTAAGTCCTCGATTGTATCTATTTTCAGTCAAAAATCAAGCAAAATTAAAATATTCTAAATACACACATAAATATCCTAAAAAATAAAAAATATTCTACTCTACTATATCTTAAAAAAAATTTCTCTTTGCATTCACATATATATTCTTGATAAAGTAAAACTAAATCAAATTGAAATTTATAAAAAGCCGAGAATTCTGAAATATTTTATATTTATTTTTATATTCATTCACACACATACACACGCGCGCGCGCACACACACATACACATGCCTCACTCTACGCGTGTAGAATATATTATACCACTCACATACTATTATACAGATTTGAGGCTGTCGACAGGGATTTACATCCGCCCCTCGGCAACAGCACGATACCGCCACAACCGCTACGACCAGCTCCTCAACCACGACCGACCGCTCGTCCGAGGCCGTCGCCACTTCAGACGCCGAGCACCGTCGACTACCTGAAGATGCACGAGGCCGGTCCGGGTCCGCTGACGCCGCCGCCGTCGTTGCAGAGAGGATCGATACGATCGAGAGCCACCGGTCCGTCCGTGTTTCTCTTTCAGAGCGAGCCACCGAAGAATCACGGCCCCTTCCCGCCGTCGATCGAACATTCCGCCTTCTTGTTCGACGATCCGAAAACGATAGCAGAAAACATTCAGATGACGCCTTATACCGAACAAAACCATGTGGATTCCAGATCTATCAGGTATACGATATATAATAAAAATTATGAAATCTTTTATATATAATTGTGTGTAAAACCTTACTGATTTATATTTAAAATATTGAGATATGTAAATGTGTGCTGAAGCCATAAAGCCGCTTTTATTCAATCTTTTTTGACGTTGACTTTACAGACAATTTGAGCATCCTTCCAAAGATCCGGCGCGGCTTAGGTACGGGATGAACCATTCCTTAGACAGCCGCTTGGACAGCGAGGATGTCAATCGGAATTACGGCGACTACGAAATCGTCCAGAGGAATCATGTCGTGCGGTCATACGCGAGGACTGACTCGAGAGGGTTACCGAATAGCTTGAGCGCGACAAATTCGTCAAATGCAGCCAGTCAGATGATCATGGAATCGATATACGGACCTCAAACCGTATCCAAGATGCTTCAGAACAGCGACGAGCTAAACCGCGATCACAATCGGAAAAACAGCGACATGCAGAATATCGAGATGACTCCGTTCAAAAGCACCGTTTCTGATCATCAGGAGGATGTCGATCCGTACATCTTTCACGGCGCTTTATCCAAGTCGCAAGACCTCCAACGAGTCTCGCAGTATATTCAAAGTCTGCCCGATTTTCCCGTCTACGAGCCCGTGAACGAACTCCAAGCCTATTCGAGTCGGGAATCGATATTGTTCGCGAACGCGATGCAGGGATCGATCGAAGACGAGACGAAGATCACGAGCGAATCGGCCTCGAGTCCGATACCGCCGCCACCCGCGCCACCAGATCCACCGCAGGAGATCCCTAAGAAGAGCAGCCCGACCACCGGCGAGAGAATCTTCAGCGCGCTCAAATCCGTCACCACGCAGAGTTACATAGATGCTTCGGAGTTTTATAAGTGAGTTATTATCGAAAAGTGACTAGTTTTATAAAAAATTTACGTTTTATTAAAAACTGACGAAAAAAAAAAATATATATATATATATATATATTTGTGAAATCAAATATAAAATTATATTAACAAAATA